CCACGTTCATGGCAGAATCGGGCTGCGAAATACCATTGAAAATGAAGGATGACGAAAAGAAAGGGGAAATCTACAGGCAGTTCTCTCGAGTGACCATGATTATCGAAGCATACGGTAGACAATTCGAACAACTGGAGATGCGCATGGCAATTGAAGACAAACGACAGCGACATTCCGTTCTCGATGTGGATGTGACAGAAACGATAAAAGATCTCGAATACAGAGTATGTTGTTCAATCATCTTTATCTTACAGTAAGTCGAATACCGTACCGTTTTCAAGCTGTTCGCTGCTAATCAGAAGCTTGCTGTTTGCGAAAAAGAAAGGGCCGAGTGGAAAGACATCATAGAACGAATGGAAGTTCGAGAAGAACAGGCAAAACAGAAGGTGATGAAGCTTACATATATTTGTGTAGTTATTGAAAATGTGAGTGAAGCGGGTCAGGTATGGAAGAAGCAACGTGACTCTTGCAGGTAATGTACCGTGCGTGGCATTGCCATCAGGACCTAAATGATTCAACGCGGTCGCGCTACCGTAAAGCGAGTCCACTAGCTAGGAAATGCTGCGCTCTCCAAGCTATGTTGTTTCCGGATGTTCCCGGAAATCCTATCTCCCCACCCACAACCACTGTTAAAACTTCTTTTTTTCCTGTCTCTTCATCGGTCCTTTTCGTGTTGTGACGGCACCAAAACTTGTAGCATCTCACTCTTTATCCTATAATTCTTGCTCTTGAATATCCTCTCTTCCTCTCCACTAGCCGCTGCTCTTTCTGGCATACGGTCAGGTCAGCGTTGCTCAAAGGCATCCCACAGATAAGACATGGATTAGAGTATCAGGGCGGAAGACACCCGAGCTGTTCCTCGATAGAAAGGAGCAGGCTCTAGTCCATCACCTTACTGTACGCGAAATATTTTAAATGGCCATCTCCAATTTTCGCAGACCAGACTGGAGAGGCTATGGGGAATTCACCGTTCACCTCCAAACAGCTGCGGGAAGTTTCTTGTATGGATCGCCACCCATGGACAGCCTCCTGAGGACCAGCACTCTTGATCTGGAAGACCTCCAACATCGAGCAGCTCCGACAACGTCGCTACGGTCCAGGATATCATCTTCACTGCAGTCGCTAAGGCGCGAGTTGATGGTATGACCGGAAGTTCCTGGAATGGGAAGAACTATATTGCCTTCGTGGACGACCCCGGACTGAAAGTGAACGCTGACTGTTGCATCGAGCCACTCGAGGAGAATATCTTGCCTTTCTGTCTTGCGTGCCATGACATGGAATCGAAGGGCTTTGGAAAAACCCTCGCCTACTCGGAATGGAGGGGCGCTGAGTATATGAAGAAGACGGAATATCCAAGTGTGTCACCTGACCGAAACTCGTGGGTCGAGTTAAAGCGAGTTCGGGCGCGGGAGCGTCATCAGGGCTGGTCTACAGTGCCGGAGAATCAGGCACTCGGCTGAGAGTTCGAGCGCACCGATCAACGGTCGCGTTAGGCAGAGGAAGCTGGCTCGATGGGGCGCGGGAGGAAGAAGTGTCTGTTTTATCGCGACCTCGCCCCGGGCCCCGCCGGCCCAGCCCCAACCCCCGTAAAGTGCAAAGCTAGAATCCATTATCTCGTGATGGCGAATGGATCGTAGGCTTTGCGCGTTTACGTTTGCCTGAGTTTCATGGGCGGAGCGGCGGCCGTACCTCAGTTAAAGCACACATCCCGCGACTCGACTAAGGGTGCAGGAAAGCTCTCAGCAGTACAGAGAGCGGCAGGGAGCGCTGAGGATTAGTCGTCTTTTTCGGCGGGGGGGGATGGGCTCAAACGCGTCTTGATAAGCACAACAGCTGTCGGCAATAATAAGCGCTGACTCCGCCTATGAAGCGATTCCACCGTCAATCACATTTTTCATTACCAAATTTCGTGCCGCGTGATAATTGCCAACTTAATGCGAAATGCTCAGAGAATGAGTCCAGGCAAGTGGCAATCGGATTCGGAGGAGTATGATTAACTCGTCCGTTTTCATTCCCGTACATGGAGTCTTTTTGAAGCATCAACGGTTTCTTTTGCTTTTTTCTTCTTTAGCATTGTACTTACAACACGACCTGACGGTTCTAAGCTCTACAACCTGTGAAAGGTGATCGCGGGCGTTGTCTTTAATTCGCCCTTTTCTCCAAAGGCGGTAAAGAGGAAAGGCAATCGAAGCAGATTGGAAGGCTCAACTCTGTCTATGTCATCATCGTAGAACTTTTAGATAAGGCCCACTAAGGTTCGTCACCAAAAGCATAGTTTGTCCCTGAAACTATGCTCCTGGTGACGAACTCAAAGCTCAAAGCAGAAACTGTAGAGGACGCTTTTCTAGATATCTGGATATCGTTGCCTTATGTTCAGAATTTGGAACTCACCGATGAAGTGAACCGCTGGCGTCGTGAATTGGAAGGACTGAAAGAGGAGAAAGGTGAAAACGCAGAAAATGGTCTCCGATTATCGTGCAGAACTTGGATCAAAGTCCATGGAACTCGAAAAGATCTCCAAATCTGTAAGTGACTCCTCTCATGCATTATCGGTCTGAAGCATTTTAGGAGTCACTGCTGACATAACTCCGCCTTAGCTTGAAGCCCTAAGATCCCTCCTATTTGCACGTGGGGGAAAGGTAAAATAATGAACGAGCATGAAGAAAAGGCAACCTAGGTAACGGAAAGAGGCCTCGAACAATTCGGCTTTGGTACGCTAGCGGCACAACTATAATGTAGTCCGCTGCGGACGGTTGGGCGTGTCAGGCGGGATGAGTTTGGCGCGGTGCCAAACCCGTTCTCCACCAGTTGTTGAAGCGAGCAAATGACTGTATCACATCGTTCGTATTACTCGTCCTCCTTCCGCGTGTGAAGTGGGTCCCGGTGAAAAGTTTTCGAAATGGAAGGCCAGTCGGATCGGCCGGCTTCGCCGAACGAATGGTCGAAATAATATTATTTTGAGATCACAAGAATGCTGAGTTGTGGGCAAAAGTCGTGCCCCAGGCGGGAGTCGAACCCGCACCTCACGCTTTCCGGGCGAGTGCGCTATCCGTTACGCCACCAGGGCCGCTTTTACCCTCTCAGCTTAACGGCTTATGCCGTAACCTTACAGCACTCAC